TAAATTCATGAAATAGTAGTTCAATAAAATTTTGAATGCGAGTCAACAAACACGATGACATGGCCTTTCACCCGTGACCCACCTGGAAAGGTCAACACTGCAATATTCCTCCACAGGACAGAAGAAAGCTCACTGTTACTTCTCTTGAACGACTTACCTCACTATAAGGAGGTTCAGTTGTGTCCATCTTGTTCACTCCCACAATCATCTGCTTCACACCCAGGGTGTAGGCCAACAAGGCGTGTTCACGGGTCTGGCCATTTTTGGAAATTCCAGCTTCAAATTCACCAGTGCCAGCAGCCACAATCAGAACAGCACAATCAGCCTTTAAAAAAAAACAGATTTACAATTAGTACATCTCCCAAAAATTTAACATTCTTTGAGCTACTGATCGGATTATTGATGTAACACCATAGAAAATTAATTAAAGTTTTTATAAAATATTTTAAAATTGAAACACAAACCTGGGATGTTCCAGTAATCATATTTTTAATGAAATCACGATGTCCCGGAGCATCAATAACAGTGACGTAGTACTTTGGAGTCTCAAACTTCCACAGGGTGATGTCAATGGTAATACCACGTTCACGCTCGGCCTTCAGTTTGTCCAACACCCAGGCATACTTGAACGAGCCCTTCCCGAGCTGTATTAAATAGTCAGGAATAAAATATGTAAAAATACTATACAACAATTCAGTGTTTTCTCTCAAAATTGCATACTACGACAGTTAAGAAAATTCCAACAATCACTCACCGGACACAAAACAGAACATATTCCCTAAAAGATGAAAGGTTACTCCCACTAAACTTGTAATCACATTGCCTAGCAACAATGGAAGTCACTCGTACATTTTTTATTACTAAATGCTTGCAATTAAACAATTTATGCATTATTAATTAATTACGTTCGTACTTACCTCAGCAGCTTCCTTCTCAAACTTCTCTATAGTTCTCTTGTCAATGCCACCACATTTGTAGATAAGGTGACCAGTGGTAGTAGATTTACCAGAATCTACATGGCCAATGACCACAATATTCATGTGTGTCTTTTCCTTTCCCATTGTAGGTTGATGTTACTTGACTATAGAATCTAAAGAAAATATAATCTTTAGACGAGCTATTCATAACGGGATATGCATGCCTACTTCACATTCAACATTAAAACAATTTTCAACTCTGGAAAAAAAATAAGACCAAAATCATTTAGTCCAAAAAAAAGTATTGTTTATCAACAGAATACATTTTAACTTGATTTAATATTTCCAACCTTTCCATTGTTTTAACAGTGATCTAAACATACATACATCTAAAACACATTTAAATACATATCCTTGATCCACTTTCATATGGCAGGGTAGGAATGTCTGTGGGGGGGGGGGGGTCCGACACTTGTTAAAGAAATTTTATTTCACCCCTTTCCATGTGCTTAGTATTTGAAACTCCTATTTCAAAAATTTCTAGTTAGCTGAATAATGCAAGTTAACTTGAAAACTAAGAACATGTTTTTGAATTCAAGCACCCATCCTCACAATGGTGTGTGTTGACACCTTCTCACCCCCAACTTTAGAGAAGTTAATAAAACTTTGCTTGTTTCTTGTCAACTAAAATTTTTATATTTCCATATTTTAAGCAAACAAAGGTTTTTATTCCAATACTCTTCCGATAATTTATTCAAATACTATACATATTGCAAGTTAAGAAGATCACTAAGCCTACAATGTTAGTTTTTGTTCTCTGAATATTCCATCACTAGCTATAAATAAAATTAATCAGATTGCATGCATTTTATATTGGATAATGTCAACTGTAACCTGGAATCTAACCTATATTAAACATTTGCTCTCACTTTCAGAACACAGCATAAAGTAAATTAGAAGTCACTCAATAATGAATGGTTCATCTGCATTTCAATATGGTCATATAATAGTATACTATAACTAAATATCTTCTGAAGAAATATCAAGGTTAGACGTGTCACTGCTAAAGTTAGTAGTAGTAGAACATGTAGTACGTTAAACCATGAATAATTTATATGTTGGCCACATCAGCCACCAGACTTCCAAAATTTAAAATTAAGTTTAAAGGCAATTTTTCCTTGTTTAAGAGTATCTAATTATATATTCACTAACCATAAGTTTAACTACTTAAAGATGTGGTCTTAATTTTTCTTAATTCTATCCTACTTTAACAATTGCACTTTTGTTTTAAAAAATTAAAAAGTACTATTAATTTTAATAATAAATCATTACCAAGTGTTAGGCCTACAATTTACAAAATACAAGACAATATGGTAAGGAGTACTGTGCTCTGTAGTCAGTATTTTGTATTACAAACCAAAGATGAACTTTAAAAATTCAAAGTTTCTAAAGTAAAATGTAGATTCTATAGACTACCCTTGAACCAACTGAAGCTTTAAACTATACCTAATTAGGTAAGTCCTAACAACCGTTTAATAAACTGAGCCGACTGGAGTGGAGAACATGGCGGACGGGCGTGTTCGTGGCACATTCAACATTTTGACAAAGACCATGTTGACTGTATAATTGTATTGGTATTGCAATGCAATATTTTTTCTTAAGAAATCATTAAATTAGAATTCTCTGAGTATATTATTAGAAAGGAAATAAAATGTATTAATGTAACATTTAAGAAAAATATTTAATGAAATAATTATCTTTTCAACCTCATTTGTCTTAGCCTTTAAACTTCAATCTTAAAAATTCCGGTCTTCAGCAACTAAAATAAATTTATTTAATAAAAAACGAAAATGTGCATAAAAACTAATATTACGATTAACACAACAAAAGCACGATATCTAAAAGTCACATATCAACAATTGTTAATAATTTCTGTTTCAGTAGATTTGAACAGATACAGAAAAGGACAAATTTACGTACTCACCATTCAACTGCCACGATGAAAAGAGAGAAGGACGGTCTCGATCACGTGGCTTTATTAGGATGGTCGTTGGGTTTCGAGATTATCTTATGACATCATACTGCAGATATCACAAAAACACACATAACTAGAAAATACTGAGTTTATAATATACTTTTATAACAAAACGCAGTTTGTAATTCATCTTATTTAAACATGTTAACAGTCACTATAATAATTGAACACAAGAATATAATTGAGAAGTAGAAAAATCTTGATGACGAAATAAAATATTCGTATTACCCAATAAGGTTCTGTTTTATATGGTTTTTATCAAAATTTTCAGGCGTTTTCGTTTATGGAAATATTTCATACATAAAGTCTAACTGGGAGAGGACAGACATTATATTTAAATAACTATATTGATGGACAGATTGATTTTTAGCTTCGCTCTAAATACATAGCTAACTTGGATCAGAACTTATTATTATACAGGCCTGCGAACTTAAACTTCATAAAAATTGTTTTGGTTTTAATAAAGGATTTTCTATAATTCAGCTAGCAGATTGCGAAAATAATATTCTTTTTCTTCTTTTTTTTTTTTTTTTTTTGCTATCACGTAAGGATTATTTTACAAATCGGGAAGAAAAAACTCTTATTTGGATCAATTATTATTTTGTTTACCATAATGAACATTTTGTATTATTATGTTCAGGTTCTAGAACAGTCGATAAGATTCTCACGTCGCGATTGATCTAGAGAAATCTACAGCCAGTGCATGTCAACATTTTAAGCATAACAAAATGTGACCCGATTTGAATGAAAATTATTCACTTATGTAAAAGTACATATGACGTTTTGTTAAAAATATGTACGTGATGGAGAAAAATGGATATCATTTTCGGATTAAGCGTAGAGGAATTACCACAGAACATGTAAAAATTTCAAGACAATAAAACAATCGCAGACCTATATTATTACAATGACAACCAACCAACTGATGGTACTTCATGGCTCTTAGAAGCTATATCTGTAAATATTTACGGCTCTGTTAGAAGCCAGAGCGGCTCTAAATATAGTCGATTAAGTATAATGATTATATTACAAATTTCTTTTCTTATCATCAATGGTAAAATAAAAAATATAATCTGGAATTAAATATCATTTTCTTACGTTTTTACGTATAAAGATAAGAATGCATTGTTTAATCAGTTGAGTACCCTAACTGTTAATAATATTTTCTGTCGTAATCTCAACAATATTTTATAAATTCGATG